GCATGATGAGAACTGAAAGAAATTTGGTTCAACTTAAATATCAAATGATATTGGGAGGATTCCTGTTGGTGGGGGAGGGAGAATCTTACTACAAAAGAAGTGAAAATAGGCTGACTAGCCTGAGGCCTAGGACAGTATCACAAAAGAGCACTACTAACACACCCTTCAAAGTAGGCCTTTAAGATGCTGGAGAGAATGCTTTGTAGACAAGTGGCCAACACCGGCAGATTGAGATCCAAGTAATTGCTGGATGTCATAGTAGAGGCTAAATAGGAGAGGTCCTCCAATTGGGCCAAACTGAGTCATTCAGACAATATCCTTCCTTCATGAAAAGTCATTTAGGAAGTGGCCCTCTTCATCCAATCTTGTGGGAATCGCTGGGAGATTATATTCCTTTATGTATGGGGAGAATATTCCCTTGTTATTTACTTTGCCATTCAACTGATTAAAAAGTTGTTTAATGGTTAATGGTTCCTGATTCACTGGTAGATAATAGACTGACTAGGTAGGACCTTGAGTTATATTTGCATAACTGTGATTATTCCAAAAAGCCCACACTGAACCCTGGAAACGACAGAACACTTTTAAGACATTCAAGGGGATGATTTGTTAGGATAAGTCAATCTCATTCAGTCGAACAAACAATCCAAATGACAACAGAGATGAAAAAAAAAATTCTGACTAGGTTTTTATCCATTCTCAGTAGTTTCTCTTCCTCAGGATGGTTATGATGTGGAAATTCTTTTCCAGGGAAGTCTGCTGTCTTTCATAAGGAAGAAGCTCGATGACTTGAAGGAATCAATTTAGTGTAACTGACATTAAACGAAACCAAAAAATGTTGCTTCATTACGCTAAATAATACACATAACCACTCTGTAAATAGTCAAGGCTTTATAAATATTAGCTATTATTGATATTTTGGTCCAGTGTGGTGGCTTGAAGAGCCTACAGATCCCAAGAAGCAATGGTCAGTGGGAAATCTCTGATTTTGGCAGGCCAACTCAATGTATTTTAGGAAACTTTGTCTCTGTGGGCTACCTTCCCTGCTAAAACAGAGCCTGATGGAATTTACTATTGTATTTACGGATTGCCTTGTACATTCCAGGTGTTCAAAAATGTGTATTTCTTTCAAAGAGTAAAAACAGGAGCTATACTTTCCTTCTCTAAGTGCTGATGGCCTACAATATGGTTCCCCCCCTGTTCGGGAGACTAAAGATCTATAACAACATGTGATTCTAAAAAAAGACCTGAGAAGAACAGGATGAGAAATGATTGCAATAGAAAGCCAAAGGGCACCCATGAAACATGTCTACCGGGTCAGACATGTGTATATGGACATATACATATACACACATATTTAAGTGGGTCTCTATTCTCTTGGGAATTTGCAGAGCACTGGCTCTGGAATTGGAGGATCTGAATTCCAATCTTACCTCTGATGCTTACTTCCTGTGTGACCTCTGACAAGTCATTTCACTTCCCTTAGTTTCTTAATCTGCAAAAGATGTCCTCTGAGGACCCTTCCCCTTCTAGACACAGAATCCTAGAATCCTGGTAGCTAGGGCATCCTCGACTCTTTAAGTAGAAGTCAGGAGATCTGAAGTCTAACTATAACCATAAACTTTAGAGTCTGAATCAACCAGCCCCAAAAGCACTAATATTATGAGGCTAAAAAACTTGGTCTCAGGTAAGCCCTTCAGCCTAGGTGTTTCAGGGGTACATTGGTGTCCAGGGAGGACTAGCACCTCTGATAAGAGGGCTTGCCGAACCCTTTTCAGGGCTGCTCATCCACCTTTGGTGTTGACCTTTACCCAGCTGTTACCTGTGGCTCCAAGAAGCTTGAGCATGAGCGGGGGCCACACCCTGGTAAAGCAGTCTTGGTAGATGGGTTAAACCAGATTGGGGGTAACTGAGAAGCCTCAAACCCATCAGTGAGTTAAGGGGATGGTTACCCCAAGCATATGAAGACCTTTCCCCGGGAATAGGTGGATAAGAGCAATTTGTTCCAATGGCCATGAAGATCGCTGAAGCAGGCCCTATCAAGAGCTTAGAGCTTGGCCAGACATTGAAGATGCCAAGGTCATCCACTGCATTCTGGGCAATTACCAGTCATCCTGACTTTTGTCTTGTCACTCAACTTTGATGAATCTGGAAGAGAGAGTGGTACAATTCTGCCTCACAAATCTAATTCACTCAAGTCAAGACATCACCCGTGATGTCATTGGTCCTCTTTGGAAACAAAGGATGAACAACAATTTGTGTTTCAGCTTCTTGTGGATGAGGACGCTGTCCTTTCTACCCCATAGAGCTATGGAGAGAGCCTATGAGAAGAGAAATGGAAGCTCCTTAAGCAATCTCTAAGACTGGCACACACACACAAAAGAAATTGAGGGCTTTATTGGAATGGTAATTGTAATGATGATAAGGAAGCACTTACATGTTAATCTAAGGGCCAGGAAGTACAGGTTAGTAGAGAGGCTCTTGTCAATATTGCTAATTCTGTGTAAAGCACCAAGAAAATGAGAAAGGTAGCCCTAGTTCCCTGAAACCCAGGCCAAACCACTTTATCTCTGGTTGATCTGAGGTTAACTTGACTGCTTTTTCGCCTGGAAGTGAAGGCCTCTAGATTACTTGGTGGTGCCTTAGTAAACAAGTTTCATATTTCTGGCAGGAGTAGGCAGCAGATGTTGTCTATCTCTGTGGGATCATCTGAATTTGTGCAAAAAGGAACATCGTAATGGATCTCCCGGAACAAGCTACAGAAAAACAGAGGGGAGGCAGTGTGGTGCAATGGAGAAAGCACAAGAGCTGGGATCAGAGGAACTGGGTAGTGAGCACTGTTACCTGCACTGTAGGTGTGAGCTTTAGCAAAGCATTCACCCCATGAGCCTCTATTTTCTTCTCTGTAAAAGGAGAGGTTTGGTCTAGGTGAACTTTCTTTGGTCCCTCCTGGTTCTGAGTCTACGCTCTTATGCTGGGATCATCAGAAATAAAACCGAACAGGCTGGCTACTTCTCAAGAGCCATGGTGGTGGTGGTGGTGGCTTGCTGCTCAATCAGACAATTGTCTCCATGCTGTATCTTCCTGGGTTTTCAGAGTGGAGATTTATTAAGTCTAAAAATATTTTTTCTTAAGACCTAGGGCGCAGTAGCTACTTCTGAAAGATGGTGACATGTAGATAAACACATGACCTGCATGGCTGCACCAGTACTATCCTTCAGTCGGGAGACTAGAGACTAGTTCTCTACCCACAGGTAGGAAATCGTAAATAAGAACTTTTGTACCATGTTGGGAAAAGCTCACCCACCTGGTGGCACCTAGATGGACGCTAATGGGATGGCCAGAATGAACTGGAGTTAAAGTTGCTATTTGTTCTGGTTAACTTGATTCCCATGCAAGAGGTTGTTTTGATGCAAACCATCCCTTGAAGGGATTGCTGACCCTGGAGACAAGTGGGGCCAGCAGCCATTTGCAAGCCACTGAAGTCCACCTGTAGTGGAATGGCCCCACCAGGCAGTGTGATTGGGTCCAATGGAGACTTTCTTGCTCCGTATCATTTTAGACTTGGACTTGGAGGGAGCCAAAGCCTGGGGGCACGAATCTGAAGTTCAGCATTCAAGATACCTGCTTTGGATTGAGAGCTCTATTCTTTCCCCAAATCACTTCAGGGACATTACCTCATTCTTCTTTTCTTTTTTTTCTTTTTTGCTTTTTGATGAGGCAATCAGGGTTAAGTGACTTGCCCAGGGTCACACAGTTAGTAAGTGTCAAGTGTCTGAGGCCACATTTGAACTCAGGTCCTCCTGACTCCAAGGCCAGTGCTCTATCCACTGCGCCATCTAGCTGCCCTATACTGCATTCATTTTCATAGCATTTTGATGAAGACCTTTGTGCAGATGGGGAAACTAAAATGCAGACTGATATAAAGTGACCTAGTCAAGGAAGTGTTAGCCATGTTAACTTTGTGTGGCCAGGTCACAGATAGAAAAGAGACAAAGGAGTTTTGACCCTGAAAATTAGCACTCAGACATAACATTTGCGCTGGACATCGCATCCTATTAGTATAACCATGTCTGTGTAGTTTGGTCTGATTTAAAATATGAAGTCCTTGAAGGAAAAGGAGGGTCCACAGACTAGTAGAACAAATGATGGGCTTAGAGACAGTGGCCCTGGGTCCAAATCCTCACTCAATCACTTAAACGCTGGGTGACTGTGGGTAATTACTTAATTTCTCTGTGCCTTTGTTGACCTCTCAGTAAAATGAAGGCATTGGGTTATTTGACATCTGAACATCTGATCCTCTATCTTTTTGGCCCAGACTTGAGATTTCATGGCTGTGAGAAGTTGCTGTGGGGAAACTCTCCCCTCCCAATGCAGATCTGTATTCTCTTTGCAGCTTATGTTCTTAGAGAGTCACCTGGGATCCAAAGAAACTAAATGATTGGTCTGTGGTCACACTGCCACTATGTATTAGAGGTAAGACTTGAATCCAGGCCTTCCCTACTGAAGGTTAATCTCTATTTATGAGGCTAGACTGATCACTTGCATTTTTTTTTGTAAGTCCATTTAGCACTTAAGAAAGTACTATGAGATTCAGACTGCTTAATGGTTATTATTTTCATTCAGTCATTCATTTTTTTTTCAACTTGGCCTTTGTATTGTAGGAGGCTTTGTAGACATCTTACTGTCAATTGCCAAAAATGGTGGGTCAGATGTCATTAACGTGGGTGCAGGTCCCAGTAATGTCAGAGAAGCATAAAGAGCAGCTCAGTTGGACAGAACTCTTGAATTCAGGAGCACATTAAGTGTGGTCATGATCAGTGCCCCTGGAATATACTGTTTGTTAGTTAAACCCCATAAAACACCATCACTTGAGTAAGCTCAATGGAGGCTGATTTAGGTTTTTATTCCTGACAAGATGATACTCCAAAGGCCAGATGCTTGAATTGAAACCTTTCACATCCAGAAAGCCACCTTATTCTGCTTGCTTAAAGACTAACCTGAGATCTCCTTATCTCCATCTGGTCACTCCAAAAGTCTTTTTGAAATTTGGGTCTCCAGGCAAAAATTCTGAAATCTAAAAGAAAAAAAAAAGAATTTTTTTTCCCTTTAATGAAATGAAACATTTGATGTTTCACACTGGAGATTCTATGATTTTATGAAGTTGGAATCACCACCAGAGGTAGGTCTGATTTCCACATAAATACATTTGGACAAGGCCTTTTTTTCTCTCTCCAGATTACAGTTTGTATAAAGGGAAAGTTAATTATTACAGCTATAAAACTGGACTCTGCATTGCCAACTCCTCTGATGTAACATGATTTCACAATGAAAAGAATGAGCTCTGAGATGCAAGATTATTATTCCCAGAACGTTAGAACCAAGAGGGACCCCCCAGATCATCATTTTACAGCTGAGGAAACAGAGGCCCTGAGAAAAGAAATTATGTGCCAACCACAAGAGGCATTTCTCATTAAACGTAGCGGTCTCTGCTGTGTCTTTTGTGACTGAATCATAGAGTATAAAATACAAGGCAAAGCATGTGTGAAAAATTATTTTAATTTTATAACTAAGAAATTTTAAGGTACATTTTTGGAATCACAGAACTTGTGTGCATTTTAAAGATTTCGTGAAATATTAGAACTATCATGACTAACACTAAAATAATAAGTACTTTTTCTTAGCAAAGCGCTTGTCCTTTTCTGTCCTAATTTTGCTGAGACCACTTATGAACTGCAATTCTTTTCAAGTTTAGGAATAGCACAAGAGGATTTGTCTAAGGCAGCAGACACCCACAGCAAGAGAGAGAAAAAGAGTGTTATACCTCATCCTTGGTCTCCAGGAAGGAGAAAAAGGTTTTGGGTTTTGTTTTTTTAAAAATGTTAAGCAGGAAATCTTAATTTCTCTTTTTAGTGTGCTATATTGCTTGCCAGATTTTAGAAACCACAAGGTAAATTAACATCTGAAAGCTATACTCATCTATTAATAACACTGTTTTTAAATATCAGAGAGGATCTCTGAATGAAATTTGGATTTTTTTTTTAACCTTAAATCAAGATAGGTGAATGCAGATCTAGGAAAAAGTTGGTGGCTTTGAGCTCACTGGGGTAGATGGAGTCACAGTATCTGAGATGCCTTTTAATAAAGCATACGGCTCCAACTTTAATAAAGAACCACAAAAGTCAAAATGATTGACAGTTCGGACAGAGGAGAGAGGTTATGGGAGGCTAGGGTATTGAAGGAATAAGCTTGGAGTTTCTCGAGTTAGGTCAATGCTGTTTTACTAACTTGTTGGAATATCAAATTCCACCCCCTTTCCTCACTTTTTTTTTCCTTCTCAAACAGCAGCAACCAGACATGACATCATTATCAGTTGAACATTCTCATTTATAGGCAGCTTCAGGGCAAAGTGTATTAAGTGGGGGGAATATATTAATCTTAATTATTTTGAGGAGCCAAGAATATAGACTTGTCATTATAAGAGATACTACTCTTCCCTCCAAGACAGTTTTCAGACAGGATAGATTTCAGATATACCTACTAATTAGTTATTAGTAAAGAAAGTGCCATCAATTTCCTGACCTCTTCATGTATGCTGATCCAGTACAGAAGTACATCACTGTTTAAATCACATATTTAATGAATTCACAAGGACTCTGATGAGCACCAGACCTAGAATCAGGGGGAACCGAGTTCAAATCTATGCTGCGACACTCACTAGCTATGTATGTGACCTTGGGTAAGTCATTTAACCTCTCTGTGCCTGAATTTCCTCATTTGTAAAATCAGGATAATAATAGCACCTATCTCTGGAGCAAGGTTGTTGTGAGGATAAAATGAGATATTTATCAAGCACTTCCGCTGACCTTAAAGTGCTCTACTCTTTCTTAGTTGCAACACATATTAGACAAAATGGGGAGGACTGATCCTCCTTCTAAGTGGATGGGCCTTCGAAATAAATCATTTGATGTTTTTGTTGTAATGGAACTTGACCTGCAAATGTCCTATGTATTACAAATGTCAAGTAAACCAGATTTGGAACTACTTCAGAAGAACCCAGGAAAAGTACAAGTCAGCTACTAAGTATGTTGGACTAACAAGTGGATGTTTTATCTTGGACACTGCATGTCGAAAAAGGCCAGATTCAAGAGCAGGGGAGAGCAGAATCTCTTTCCTCAAGTTCAGGTAGCTAATTGTAAGTGAGGTAACAGGCTTTGGAGGTTAGGGGAAGGGCAGCAGAAGGGAGTCCCAGGGCTTTCCCAAAGCCCCCGGGGAAGGGACATGAAAGCAGAAGGTCGAACTCCAGGAATTCTTGTGTCTCAGGTATGAGTCAAAGGAATGAACAACAGCAGTATCACAACCCCAAACTCTAAATCTGCTTCTCTTTCTCCATCAGTGGACGGGGAATGTGAGGTAATACTTTTTCAGGGGAAATGACTGATTCATGTGTCATCTTGTGTGGGGATGGCAGCTTTTCACATAGTAGTTTGTTTTTTTTTTTAATTATTTACACAACGTCCCCAAACCCTCGCTTTTGAGCAGACTTTTGGTTCCCCTCTGTTAATTTCAAAACGACCGGCCGGTAAACAGAAACTTGTTGCTTTCTGACCTGGGAGCAACTCTTAACTTAATCCTGAAAGAACTCATAAAAGGGAATTACAGTACTGACATCACATTTGCTTTTATAATCACATGTTGTTATGTAATAAACACGGGATTATTTTAATTGACACTATAGGACCCAGCACAATCCTCTTATTTAACCCTAATTTTTTTTTAAAGGGTGAGAAACCAAGCTCACAGAGATTGACTAAGGGGGCAGCGCGCAACTCTTTATTCCCCCTTATCAACCTCCAGCCCCCCCGCAGACTAGCCTCCCACGTACCCCCCGGTCGGACGCCTCCCCCGCCCCAGACCCCTCGGCCTCCCGGAGTGAGACTTTCCGCAAAGTTGACCGGGGTCTGCCCGCCGGCCTGCTGCCCGCCCCCTGCTTTCGTGGGGAGGGTCCCGCGCCCCCGGGGTGCGGGGCCGGGGCGCGGCACATGCCCCAAGGGCGAAGGAGCCCGGGACCCCCGGCAGCCCTCGGGCTCCGGGAACGCCGGCGTTTTAAAAACAACTGGCGGTGTGGCCTGCTGCGCTCGCCCCTCCACCGGCCCCACGCCCAGGGTCCCGGGGCGGCCAGGCCAGGCCGGGCGGGCGGCCCCAGAGCGGGCGGGCAGGCAGCCCCCCAGCCGCGGCGGCGGCCCGTGGAATCTGCCGCTCCTGACGCGAGCTAGCAGCAGGGCCAGGCGTGTGGAAAGTGCTGTTGGCGGACGGCGCCGAGCCCTGGGCCGAGCGATCGACCGCGGAGAGAGCCATAGTGCTGACGTTGGAGGCCCAGCCCTGTGAGGTTGCGCCGGGTAAGTGGCGCTCAGCCGGGGAGGGCCCGCCGAGAGGGCGGGGGAAGGGGAGGAGCGGGCCCGGGGGCGGGGCCTGACGCCCGGCCCGGCCCGCTGATTGCTGGAGGGCGGCTGCCAATCTCCGAGAATCCCCCAGTCAGCCGGTGCCCTGGCGAGAGCCACTCAGATGTACGGTGTGTGCCCGGAGAGCAGCCCGAGACGGTCTAGAGACGGTGCAGCAGCCCGCAGCCCCAGCCAGGGAGTCCCCGCCGCTTTCAATGGAGGAGAAGCCCGGCCAGCCCCAGCCTCAGCCCCCGCCGCCGCCGCAGTCCCAGCAGCCGCCCCAGCACAGCAGCAGCAGCCACAGCCTCCACCACCACCCGCACCACCACCACCCCCAGCAGCAGCCCCAGCAGCAGCAGCCGCCGGCCCAGGCAGCCCCGGTGCCGCCGCCGCACCACCACCACCACCACCATTATTACTACTACAACCACAACCACCACCACCACCACCAGCACCACCAGCAGCCGCACCAGTACCTGCAGCATGGGCCCGACGGCAGCAGCCCCAAGGCCCAGGCCAAGCCGCTGAGACATGAGCCCAAGCACGCCCTCCCGCCGCACCAGGAAGCGCCCAAGAAGAAAACAGGTCCGGGAGCGCGGGGGGTGCGGGGCCGGGCGGGGGCCCGGGGTCACGGGGCTCGGGGACACCCTCCCGCCCCGCTCCGCCCGCCCCTGCTTCCGCCCGGCGGCCGGCGTGACCTTCCCGGGCCCCCGCCCCGCCGGGCCCGCTGCCCTTCCACGCGGGGCGGGCGCTGCCGGGCCGGGCCGAGGCC